GGCCAGGATATCTCCACTTTTTAGAAGATATTTTGCCAGTACTCCTAGAAGAGATACCGTTACAATTAAGGCAACGGATGTGGTACCTACTAGATGGCGCTCCTCCTCACTTTGATTTAAACGTACGGCAGTTTTTGAACATTACATTTCCTCAAAAGTGGATAGGCAGAAATGGACCTACTAAGTGGCCTCCGAGATCTCCGGACTTAAATCCATGCGATTTCTTTTTGTGGGGTCACATGAAACAACTGGTTTATAATGAACCTATTAATAGTGTTGAACAATTAACCAATAAAGTTAATGCGGTAGCCGAGGAACTACGACAAAATCCAAGACTAATTTCTAATGTTCAAAGTTCTTTGGAAAGACGATTGCAAGTGTGTGTAAATAATAATGGACGGCATTTTGAACAATTACTGTAATAAACTTTATTTTGAATTAATTGGTTTTGCTACGGCAACAGTGCAATTTCTATGGGTAAGTTCAATTTCGATTTATTTTACTTCTTTAAATATGGAAACTAGTAGGTCGGAAAAGGGGACTCTTCCCCAATATTTAAATTTTAGAATTTGAAGTTAAAATTGGTGTCAATCGTTTTTGGTCATTACATACTATTCCCCATTTTAATATGTACGTGTATTTCAATAACACCCTGTATAAACAATATTGTTTTAGGTCATCAAAAACTCAATTAGATTATATGGTTCCCTGTTAACTAAATATATAAATAACACTTTTTTGATTTCTGACAATTCATTGTTTTAATATATCTGGGAAGACTATTGAATATTTTGATACAGTTATAGTAGGCTCCATGTTCTGTCATTGTTAACTTGTGGTGTATGTGAAACTTTGTGATTCAGCAATTCGTGACCATTTAATTTTAAAAAGTAGTAGATTTGTCTTTTCCCTATTTTTTTTGTGTCATCGGCATCAACTGCTATGGTTATTAGCCTCGTGTTCTGTGTAGGCTTTGTTAATGTTTCCCAGCGTCACTTTAGGAACATCACTGTTAATTAGTACCCAACAGTGAATGGTCGAGTGGGGAATCCTACCAAGGCATCAGAATTAACTTTAAATAATTAAATTAAATGAAAAAATTCCGGCCAACGGTGGGATTCGAACCTGGGACCCTTGGATCCACAGGCAGAGGCTCTAACCACTAAGCCACCCACCCCCCAATTTATTTTTTGTAAACCACTCATTTCTCACTCCAAGAATATGGCTTGCTCTTTACTCCAACTGCATCATTGTACCACTTTTAACCAATATACGTTGTTATAGAGCACCAGTCCACATTTTCACTTATTTTCTCTATATTATTGATATATAACACAAATAGAATTGGTCCCAGTACGCTTCCCTGTGGAATTCCTAGACCTACATATTTATCATCAGATATAATTTGTTCTTGACCATTTTTTAATGTAACTCTTTGTATTCTCTGATCCAGATATGAACTAATCCATTTTAGTGACGTTCCGGTTCCTCTTACGTCATATTTGTCTAATTTGTTTAACAATTAGGCATTCCAACGACCTGTCCAAATGGCTACCAGTGGGTAATGACAGTTTAGATATGGCAACCCTGTTGTCATGTTGTCATTAACAGGGTCAATGATACATATATAGTTATATAGATTGCTCAAAGCTGGTCGTTTACGAGCGGCCATATTGCCTGGCAAATATTTATTAATTTGAATCGGTTTAGAAAAAATGTGTTTTAAAACTAATTTTTAGCCTTTAGACATTAAAAAAAAATAATTGCTTACATTTTTACTACAAGGCATAAGCTTATGTTAATTTTGAAAAATATGGATGATCAATCTATGTAACTATCTATTTCATTGACCTTGTCAAATTACCAGGCCTACAGGGTTGCCATAATTTTGCTATATCATAACCCGTCAAAACCCACTGGTAGCCATTCAGTTTGGAATGCCTAATATTTCATAATTTAACGTATCATATGCTTTTGACAGCTCTAAAAATAATCCCAGTGGTAAGTTGTCATTTTCCATAATGGTTAAAATTTGATTTGTAAAAATAGTGCAGTTAAGGTTGTTTATTTAAAATTTATTACAGTTTTTCAAACTTTTTTTAAAGTAAATTAAATAATGTAAATTTACTAATAATTTATACGTTTTTATGGTATTTAAATTTATTTCTGTACGCCTATGAGTTAAATTTGTAAAATGATGAATGAAAAAAAAACCTGTTTACAACTTTTACAAATAATATCGATTTACTTATTGCGCGGTTGTTAGATTTTTACATCTTGTATGAGAACGATTGCATTACTATTGTTAAGAAAACCATAAACTTGGCTACAATTTCCAATCAGACGTTTGTGCTTTTGCCAAAGACACTTAGCGTTGGTTTCAGAAATTTTGTAAAAAAAATTCGTGTGTAGACCTAAACTTTACTGGATAAAGAAATCTATTTGATTTCTGGAATCAGTGAGGTAGGTATATATTATAGAAGTCTACCAAATAAGGGGAGTTCTTTTGGACAAAATTCCATTTTCTTTGGATTTAAGTGAAGACAATTAAATAATAATACTCACCTAATGTGTCTATTCGGCACCATTGGCACACACTAAATACACTCTATAACAATGTTATTAATAATAAATAAACCGCACTATATAAAAAAAAATTAAATCGCACGCGCACTACCGATATATTTTTCGTTTGAAGGTCCGAGAAATCCTGATTCATTTTTAATACATTAAATATTAAAACCCTTTACATAATGATATTAATGATTCACAAACGGTGGCTCATTCTAGACGATATCGAAAAAAAAAATATATACCGATTGTCTCAAATTAAAATTATACTTTATAAAGGGTTGGGATAAAGTATGGAACCAAGAAATTTTTTTAAAACGAAAAGGACTATATTTATGAAACTTTGCAGATTTTAAAAGATCTTATTCCGAATTCATACATACTAAGTTTAGATCTTTTAAAATGTGCAAAAATATCCCCTTTAAATTAAAACAGTTGAGGGCATTTCCGGTGAAACCGGAAGTACAGTAGTAAAAAAAATATGGTATCAGATGCGTTATGCGTCATCTTACTTGCCTGTAAAGTTTCATAAATATCGTCCTTTTCGTTTTAAAGATATTTACTTGGTTCCATACTTTATCCCAACCCTGTATAAAATTCGAGGTCGGTGAAATTGCCGCCGTTTCTAAATGGACTAACAGATACATTAGGTGAGTATTATTAATGGTTTATTATTTAATTGTTTTCACTTAAATTGAAAAAGGGTGGGGATTCATAACACTCTAGTGTCACAAAAAGTAAGCGATTTAAAAAAAATAGAACCATTTTGAATGTGGTAGAGACCAGTGTTGCCAGAATAAATTTTTGTTATGTACCAGATTTGTCTGAGAATTTACCAGATTCCATAAAATGAATCAGATTCTATAAACTGTACCATAAAAAGTAAAATTACTAGATGTTTAGAATTTGAGGGGAAATTTTAAAAATTGTGTTTTTCTTATTCAATCTGGCAACGCCAACAAACGTTGGAGAGTTCTCAGAAAAGACCGCGAAAAGCCAGTCAGTACTTGTTGCGGGCTGGTAGTAATCTAATCAACAAGTTCAAAAGCGTGTTTTTGGGACATACTATTAGGGGGCGTCCATTAATTACGTGAGGTATTTTTGATTTTTTGACCCCCTCTCCCCCCCTGGTGAGATTTCGTAAGATTTTCCTCAACTCCCTCCCCCCTCCCCTAATCTCTCGTGAGATTTTTCAAAATTTGTGTTTTGGGTGTAAATGCGTTGGATTATTAAAAAAACAAACACAATATGTTTTATTACTTTTATTTAAGACTAAAAATTTCTAGAAACATTCTTTACTTAAATTTAATTTTCACGCAATTTTACACCGTTTTCTACTAGAAAAAAAAATACGTCAGATTTACAAAGAACCTCCTCTCCCCCAAGTGAGATTTGGAAAGATTTAGCTTGATCCCCTCCCCCCCTTGAACACCTCACGTAATTAATGGACGCCCCCTTACGCAAATTATGTTCAATAGCTCATTCGATTCGGAATAATGTCTAGATCAATGTGTGAAGAAAAATTTGCAAAAGTTATAAACAATTAAACTCCTCAAAAACATGGTGTTTGGTTTTTCGCCTATAGTTTGTAAACTATAAATATTTTTGGATTTTCAAAAAAGATCCTTAAAGAGGAGGAAATTTGCTATAAATAAGTTCCGACTCCCGGAACTGTACCTCCATTATTTATAATTTTAATTTAACGATCAAAGTAGCCTTCCGCGCGCCATTTTTAGGTTGCGCGCACGGCGTCGAAACCGAGTACGTTACATAAAATAATAAAATAATAAGTTAATAAAATTAAATTCAAAAATTTAATAAAATTACGGTGTATTCTAAACACTTAGAAGAATTCATTCCCGTTGGAATTTTTCATAAAAATTAATTTTCCAACAAAGTAGGATATTGTTAACAAAATTTTTAGAATTTCTCTCATCATTACAAATTGATAAAAATATTAAATAATTACCGTAATAAAAGTTTAAAAAATGTTAATACTTTGTTTATAATAAGTTTACAAAAACAGAAAAGTCACAGTGGTGCTATAAAATTTTTTTTTTTTCAATTTGATTATAATATTACTGTTTTAATGTCGAAAAAAGACATTTATTAATTAAAAAAAATTTTCCATAAATTTTTTATAAACAAATGGAGAATTTCAATTTTTTCAAATTTTTTTTTACAACTTTCTAGACAATTGCCAATTATGATTTTTAAAAATTTTTTTTCTTAATAATAACTTTTAATTGTTTATAATCGTTTTTTTTTTAATATATCTATTGTTTAAATTATGAGTTAAGAAATGTGTTTTTTTTTAAATCATAATTGACAGCCCTCTACAAAGTGACGCAAAAAAATTTTTTTTATTAATAATTCCATTGTTTATTAAGTTAACAATTTGTTATAAACAAATTCCCAACTTAGGTTTATTTTTTTTTCTGATAGAAATAAAAATTTCAAAAACGACTTAGTGCATTAAAATTACGGAAAAAATTTTATTCCATTTTTTATTAAACTTTGAAAATATACGTACTATCAAAGTTGCAGCAGCTGATCCATTTGTTGACTTAAAAGTTGATAAAACTTTTAAACTATTGGAGATACGAAATTTTTTTAGGGCCCCCTATAAAAGAAGGTCGTATTTTTTATCATGGGAATATTAGCTTGTAGACAAAGAGAAAACACCTCCCAGTTTGACCCGCATTTCATCGTCCTATTTACGTATGGATGAGCAGTCTATATAAATTATATATGTCATTGATGAAATCATACAAAATCTACGAATTAGGCATTTCAACGACCTGTCCAAATGGCTACCAGTGGGTTCTGACAGTTTAGATATGGCAACCTTATGGGCCTGTTGTCATTAACAGAGTCAATGATACCTATATAGTTATATAGAGTGCTTAAAGCGAGTCGCTTGGGAGTGGTCATATTGCCTGGCTAATTTGAATCGGTTTAGCAAAAATGTGTTTTAAAACCAATTTTCAGCCTTTGAGTATTTGAGAATAATAATTGCCTAAATTTTTACTTAAGTTTATTTTTAAAACCATGCATGATCAATCTGTATAACTGTCTATGTCATTGACCCTATCAAACTACCAGGCTTACAATGTTGCCATATTACATGCCTGTCAGTGGCCTGTTATTTCTAACGGACAGCCATTTTGTTTGGAATGTCTAATATCATAAGTATACAACGTCGTATAAACCGGAATTGTATGCAAATGAATATTCTTACGTAATTTATCACTATCCCAAATAGTATTCGTTTAATAATTGTTCAACGTTATTTCTAATTTTGTTTCGTCCATTTTTTTATCGTTGTACACGTCGGAATCGTATGCAAGTCGCTAAATCGGTGATATTTTATCAGCAAGTTTACGAAAAACAAAATAGCATACGTTTGTTAATTGTCTAAAGTGTATCGAATCTTTTTTAGCGTATGCAAATATTTTAAACACTTCCAAATTTTTTGGTTGAAAGAGAAAAAATCATACTTCCTCCGTTACATATAAAGTTGGACTTAATGAAGCAATTTGTAAAGGCTCTTGATAAGAATGGGTCATGTTTTGCATATATAGGAGTAAAAATGCATCAGCTGAGCACAGAAAAACTCAAAGCAGGGATATTTGATGGCCCACAGATAAGACAATTATTTAAGGATCCTGCCTTCATAAATTCAATGAATCAAGTTAAACGAGAAGCTTGCAGTTGTAGAAAATTTTCTAGGCAAACATAAAGCTCAAAACTATGTTGAAATGGTTAACAAGATGCTTAATAGTTTCAAATCATTAGGGTGTAATATGAGTATTAAAATACACTATTTACACAACCACTTAGATCGTTTTCCAGAAAATTTAGGAGACATAAGTAAGGAGCAAGGTGAAAGATTTCACCATATTAAAGTTATGGAGGACCGCTACCAAGAAAGATGGGACATGCACATGATGGCAGATTACAGCTAGAGTTTAAAAAGGAACTGTTTAAAACATTCAAGAATGTCGCGGAAAAGAAGCTTTCGAAGTGTTGAGTGACTATTTGATTTCTTCAATGTTTTTTTTGTTTGTAAGTACGACATAATATTGTATTTTGTATCTACTTTTGTTTACTACACTTACGGATTTGAGTTAAAATATTTCTCTAAAATTGTATATCTTAAAAATTCGAGCTCCTAGGTAAAAATGAATACGTTATTTGAATTCAGGACACCAAATTGATATAGAATCAGCTCAAAAAACTTCAACATCAAAACAGCTGTTCCCCTGTGTTATTCTTCAATACCTACTCTTTTTTACCTGTTCAATTAATAATTTCGGGGCTTCCTACACAATTTTTTTCTAATTTTAACAAAAAACAATATGCATGCATTTACTAATCCATTTTTAATTCAAAATCAAATTTTCTTGGTGACGCCGCTACATGCGAGCACTCTTAGATAACTGGTTAAAGCATGTTAAAAACCTATAATATTATAACTTAAAAGCTGCATATATTAAAAAAACATTGCAAACAATCTGTCAATACCGGCTAGTCTATTACCAGGTCCTGGATATGTGAAATAATTAAATGGGAAGTACAATTCAATTTAAAAAAAAATGACCAACTTCAGCTTCAATATTTTGTTATTAAAAATTAATTCCAACTTAAAATATTCGGTAAATTGGTCATTTTCATTCAAAATGTACGTAAGGCTCCGACAAAACTTTGAAGAGATATCGCAGGTAGTAATTTTTATATTTAATCAGGACTATCCTATAATTCATATAATAGATAATTAACAATTTGACATTGGTCTTGTCACAAACCTCAGTTCAAGGTAGCACTGCGTCTAGACGACAGTAGTACTAGCTGCTGATCCGTTTCACTATACTGTAGTCATTTAGAACGGGTGCTTTTTTTCTTCTTCCTCTTGAAAAATCCACAACACTTAGTTTCATCTACAATTTCAACGTCTGGTGGTTGTGTAATGGGTGTATTACTGTGACCAGCTGTGGGATCGTCCGCGTTCAGTTCTCCGTTAGTGGAACTCACGACCTGTACGGATCCGTGTCGATCTGCTGGTGTAAGATTTCCGAAAGTATTTTGTTTCGAAGTATCAGCCCAACCACTAGTTTTATTAGTTTTATGCACTTGTCTGTCCATGTTATACGAAACAACTCTATCATGAGTGTTAGATTGCAGGGAACCTACAGGAGTAACTATCGTTTTCCCCGACCAATCGAATTCTCCATCATCGACATATCCTTTTTTATTGAACAAAGAAATGAATAGCTTCCTCAAGTATTCATAATCTGGAGTTTCGAAAAAGTCTAATTGTCGCACATATCTTAAATATGCTGCCATCTCTTCTGGGTGACCATCGCATAGAACGAAAATTGGTGTAGCGCGTTTCGTATCTGCTATCTTTTGGTATCTTTCTTTCAAAGTATCCGCTTTCAAACCTTGCCAAGGTAGCGATCCCCTTAAAAAATACATAAACATATGTCCAAGGGCTTCGAGGTCGTCTCGCCTCGATTGCTCTTTTCCTAAATGGGTGTTTATTGACATGTACCTAGCGGTTCCAGTCAGTGATTTATGTTCTCTAAAAGGTATGTGTTTATTTGTTTCCAACTCGATATATTCCTTTGCTAATCCGAAATCTATTATGTGAATAACTTTTTCTTTCTTAGTAGCGGTTCTTCCGATGAGGAAGTTTTCTGGTTTAATATCTCTATAAATAAGGTGTCTGGAGTGGACAAACTCGACGCGATGCAGCAATTGTATTGCGATCATCAGAACAGTCTTTAAAGTAAATTTGCGATCGCACATATCGAATAAGTCTTCCAAACTAGGACCTAGTAATTCCATTACTAAAGCGTTATACTTTCCGCAAGGGCCAAAGTAATAAACATCCGGTATCCCTTCGTGACTACCTAATAGTTTGTAAAACCTGTATTCTAAATGTAGCTGTGGTGCTTTAGATTTCATAGGTTCCATTTTAATAGCAACATGTTCGTTATTATACAAGTTTTTTCCTAATCTTAATTCTCCAAAGTTGCCACAACCAATCTTTTTTCCAACTCTATAATTGGGGCCCACCATTAAAACCCCTGAACTAGAATTAACATTGTGACGATTACTATGCGCATCAGTTCCGCTATGTCGTTTTGAACTTTTCTGTTTCTGATCTAGTTTATCCATTTTAAAAAAAAATGAGACCAGTAATAAATTTTAAATTGTAAAATGCAATTTGTGCATCAACTCATAACCTCCATCACATCCTAAGTTATCACAGATAATTTACATTTAATTTGGATTAGTTAGAAGACGGACGTAGCCAACCATCAAAATAATGATCAATTTTAAATTAGAAGATCATAATTATCTTACTAAAAAATGAGCTGGTCTTCAGCGACTGTAAAAAAAAGAAAAATATATTAATATTGAAATACAACAAACGATTTTAAAAAGTAAAAAATATTTGTGATTGTTTACCCTAGTTACAAATTGTCTAGAAAAATAAAAATGCGACAACAAATTAAAACTTGTTGGATAATGTTATGACGACGCTAAGTATTATGTCAGGGCAATTAAATGGTTTACAATCTTAGATTAAAGAGACCGAAGATGTAACATTGCACACTGCGCATGTTGTCTATTTTAAGCCAAAGTAACCCACCAATTGAAAATCATTGTTGCACGACGCCACCCGAATTGCTCCGATTTCCATTCAGCGATCACCTCCACCTGAATTTAATCACCATTGACAGCTGTTTTTTGATTTATTTGTTGGTATTTTAGCAATTTAAAGTGTTCTAGTTATTCAATTTCAAGTTCAAAATGTCACGATGTATCTTGAAAAATTGTATGTACTTATAATACAAGTACTACTGTTATGAATATATTCGTTTTCAGCGGTAAATATTTATTAACGTTTTGACATAAAGCGCCATGATTCTCTGGGCTGAATACTTCAGATCCGCATTAAGGGGTTTCAATAAATATTAAGAATAAGAAATCAGATTTCATATTACTTATATAAATTTACAAAAGGGTAAAATTTTGAACATTTAATTTAAATAAATAGTAAATAGGCATTATTGCTAACCAAATTTTGTATTTAAAAAGTAGTTTTATAAGAATGTTTTCTAAAGGTAGTTTTTAGCCCTTTTTGGTAGATAAATAAGAGGTAAAGAATCATAGTTGCTAGCTAAATTTTATTTTTATAAGGTATTTTTATAAGAATATTAGATGAAATACAGGATGACCTACTTAAAATTTCAAAGTTCATCTTATTTGCGGTCAAATCGAAAGTGACATTGAATTTTCAGTCTTAAAACAAAGTAATCTAGTATAAACAAAAAAAAATACTAAAGTTACAGGAGTTAGGTCCGATTCCACCGTTGTGTTAAACGGAGATTAAAATGACAATGTTAATGTAAAAATGTCATTTTAAACTTCGTTTAACACAACGGTGGAATCGACCCTTAGTCACGTTAATAAAATGTTACATTACAAACCCCTAAACAACTCGAACATAATTTTCGTTTACTAAAAAAAATCCAAAATTTAGCAATATTTATTTATTATACAATCGAATGCGATTTCAAAGATAACTGGATCAAAAAATCCGAATCTCTAAATTTTGGAGCTAAATGCTCTGATAAAGGCAAGCGATCGATAATTCTGATATTTTTTAATGAAAATCGATTTATCCGCTGTTTTTAATAAATTATTTTCGTTTTTTTTAAGATAATGTATTAATCGATTTTAAAGGAAATACAAAAAAAGTAGATTTATTCAAAATAATCGATTTATCGTTTAATCGGTTTTTTAATTATTTGATTATTTTTGATTTTTCAAAGATATATGAAAATAATCGATTGAATATAATCGGTTATTTTACATAATTCATATTTTGGTTATTTTTTAAAATTATCGATTTATTGGATAATCAGCTTTTTAATAATCAATTATTTTCGATAATCGAATAATCAATTTCAAAGGAAATATGAAAAAAGGATTATTAGAAAATAATAGATAATTCGTTTTATTTTTTGGAAAATCGATTTATCATAGAATCGGCTTCTTAATTAATTGGTTATTTTCGATTAGGCGATTATTTTGGAATTATTGATTATTTTTGGTATTTCAAAGATAATCGAATTATCGATTTTAAAAGAAATACAATAAAAATAGATTATTGATAATATTCGATTGATCGAAAATAATCGATTATTTAAAATAATCGATCATTCTGTTTTTTTTTTTGAAAATCGATTTGTCAGTTAATCGACTTTTTAATTAATCGATTATTTTTGAAATACAATAAAATAGATTATTCGTAATAATGGATTTATCATAGAATCGGCTTCTTAATTTATTGATTATTTTCAATTAGGCGATTATTTTGGAATTATCGATTATTTTCGGTATTTCAAAGATAATCGAATTAACGATTTTAAAGGAAATACAATAAAAATAGATTATTGATAATAATCGATTGATCGAAAATAATCAATTATTTAAAATAATCGATCATTCTGTTTTTTTTTTAAATCGATTTATCAGTTAATCGACTTTTTAATTAATCGATTATTTTTGATTAATCGATTATTTTCGATTTTTCAAAGATTATTGAATAATCTGTTTCCATGGACGAAAAAAAAATGGTTTATTTGAAAATAATCGATTATTTAAAATAAACGATAATTCTATTTATATTATATTTTGTAAACACTGATTTATCGGTTAATTGGCTTTTTAATTAATCGATTATTTTTGATTTTTCAAAGATAATCAAGTAGTCGATTTTAAAGGAAATGACAAAAAATATATTGTTTGAAAATAATCGATTGATCGAAAATAATCGATTATTTTCAATGATCGATAATTTATTTTGATAATCACTCATCCCTAGCGACCAAATTACTTTTAATAGATTTAAATTTTAAAATGTTATCTGGTTTCAGACATATGCATTTCTAGAGTTTTATGTGACTCATCCTTTATAATAATTAATATTCCTAAAGAAAGAAGCCTTAATATACTTTTTTCTGAGGTTACAATACAAAACAGCATTTTCTCATTTTGACTAATTTTTAATAATATGTAATAGCCGTAGAAAAAATATAATGTTCAACTCATAAGGGTAGATTTGCAGTATTAGCCTGCGCACATGCTATTTTTATAATACTCGTAGACAATGAGTAACATTTTTTGCTCTATTAACAATATATTCTATTTCAACATTTTACTGTAATCTCTTGCAGAAAAGTCCGTAGTAAATAAACGCTAACGAAATATTCTATAAAAGGTCTTCTCTTTACATAAAATGTCGTGGCATCTGTTTGATATTAAAAAATCACGTTAATTTTATTTCATAATACAAAATTCGATTAAACACCTTTTAAATAAACCTAATAGTTCATTAAGATGCTAATAAACAAAGTCCGGTCCCTGTCACAGAGTTCGGGTCGCCGCGTGTCGCCGCCCAGTTCCCCCACTCCGTTAACCCTTCTTTAGAAATTGGCAACATTTGCGCAGGTTTAAAACCGGTGTATGTTATATCTCTGGTCTCTTTTATCTAAGTTTACAATCGAAGATTAAGGAAGTAGTACCAGAGGCGGTGTTCGTTCATTGTTTGGCGCACCGTCTGAACTTAGTCCTATCTCAAAGCTGTAACAGCATTTCGAAGTGCCGTATATTTTTTGCTAATGAGCCTTCTTTTTTTTCATCATTCAGAAAAAAGAACTTACACCGCCAATGTAATCCTCAAAAAGCGAATACCCACTTCAGTAGTTACAAGATTACAATTCTAAGATTTTGAGTCTTATTCATAATAATTAGAATTCTCTAAAACAAGTTTTTAATGATATTTTAAACCAGTGTTTTTCAACCTGTGGGTCGCGACCCCCTGGGGGGTCGCGAAGCTTCTGTAGGGGGGTCGCCAGAGGTCGAGAGAACTTCAGTAAAAATCAAATTTTTAATCTTTATGAAGTAAGAGAATTTTAACAAAAGGTTATACTCATAAACATTTTTGTATGTTAATACAAACAAATTAACAAAAAATAAAATCCTAAGACTCATGTTAATGCAATGTATTTATTTACTACACATAGAATTAAATCGTTTTCCAAATTTAAGCGATTTCTTTGCTAACTTTTTATTTGGGCCATTGATGAAAATGTCAACTCGCATAAGTACGAGGTGGCAAATGGAATCAAACACTTCAAAGCCTCAGTTGTCAATTCCGGCCATTCTGTTTTTCTCTTTAACCAAAAGGTATCCAAATTAACAGATTTGAATTCCAAGTGTAACATAATTCTAGCATATTCTCTTTGAGCTTAGTTGACAAATTAACCTCATTTATAGCTGCATTTAAAAACGGATTTAAGATCCACCTCTGATCAGTGTTCTCCGATGTCTCTTGCACTGAAAAGTAATGACACAATTCTTCTTTCAAATTATCTAACACCATTTTCATACCAGGTATATATGCCTTGATGTTTATCTCACATCCGACTGCTTCAGTAAAAGATTGTGTCGACGAAAATGAATCGAAGTTATTTTGATTTATAGACGACGACCACAAGTCAATATTTTTTGTAAAGTCATGTATTTTGTCTTTTGCAGTAATGACATTTTCATCTATCCCTTGAAGACTTTTATTCAAGATATTTAAATGCTCAAATAAGTCAGAAAGAAAAGCTAATTTTAAAAAACTCCGCCATTTTGATCCCTTTATTACGTGTTGCCTACAACTTGGCGCAATATTTTTAATAGGTGCGTTTTAATCATTCGCTTCTGCTTCGGAATTGTCGATTTTCTTGTTTTAATCTGGACAAGTTAAAACGACTAATAAACACCCAGTTAGGATAGACAGAAGCAAAACTGGAGCATGTCAAAGAAGTGGTGAAAATATTGAATTTACCAAGTTACCACCAAAAAAACACAAAAAATAAAAAAATAGCCTTAGCCAAACAATTTTTTTTTCAGGGGTTATAATATAAATAAAATTTATTTAAAACAATAACTATATTATATGTAGTTTTCAATTTTCATATTTTTTCCAAAACAAAAAGATTGTTTTAATCGGGAATTTAATATCTAAAATCACTTCCTGCACTATGAAGCCGTAATGTTAAATGAATTATCTAATCTCAAATCAAATAATGTATGTACCAAACAAAAATGTAATCTAAATTATTATAATAAATGTTAAAATTAAATATTAATTAAAATAGATTTAGATATGTTTGACAGCTGATGCAAAAATTAGGTTCTTATTCATACATGGGCGAAAGTAGATTTTTATCAACATGTGTGTGATATACTTATAAAGAACACTTTTTATGAGGTTGTAAGAAAAATATTTATTTTTCTCTACAACTATTACATGACTACATTTTTTAT